ATTTAGAGTTCTTCCCCTGTCCCTGAGAGTTCTGTGGATTTTTAAAGAGCTTTTCATCAAATTAAAAAAAAAAGCATTTGAGGGCTTTGAAATTAAGAATGCTCATGCTGAGTTCATGCTGAAGAATGCTGGACCTGTGTAACTGAGGTCACAGTATATGTTTGCCAAGAACCCATGGGCCACTCCCCATTATATTCAATCGAAAATATCTATGTCCTACCTCCACTACTTTAGAGGGGGAACTGAACCAGAATTGCACTACCTGGCCATGTCCAGGTGAACAGGGGTGTGCACTTTCAGCATCACAAACCGTAGCAGCACAAATTTGTGCCACTGTGCACGCTCCGGGAATTGTGCTTTGCTGCTGGACAAACTGTCCTGCCTTGGGCAAATCACCCTTGCCCAGCTCCTCCCAGCTCTTCAGCCAGGAAGAGCAGGAGGCTGAGGCCAGGTGCTGGCCTTAGCAAAATTAGCTGGTGCCTTGGTGGCATGCTGGAGCAGCAGGGGCACAACTTGGGCAGCATGAAGACCTGGCTGGCAGCCCGAGTATTGCTCTGGAAGGCCAGGACTCCATTTGTGCTAGTGCACACTTTTTTTTTGTGCGTGTTGTGCCGCTTTTTTTTCTGGTGTTTTTTGGGGGGTTTTTTTTGCTACCAGGAAATCCTGGTAGCAAATTTTGCCACTACATTGTAAATTTGCAGTGCAATGTACATTTTAATGGCACCACAAACTGCATGCTTCGGTCATTTGGACGCGGCCACTGGGTACAAACACCCTTGAGGTCTATAGTCCAGCTGTATAGTACCGCCAATGGGGCACAATCAGACTCTTATTATGCATACACTAGTTGCTGCAGAACAGAAAGGAAGATTTTTTTTTTGCTATCCTACAGAGATACCCAGTGTACAGGACACATTCTGGGCTGTCCAGTGGGTTCATGGATTTGACACAAAAATCAAGACAGCCAGATCGACTCTTATTCTCAGTGAGGAAATGTGCAGGGGTGGAGGAAGAGAGAGATCTTCAAAGATCACAAGCTTGAGAAAGCAATTCTTCATTTTTCACCGGATGCTGGGACACTTCTAAGTATTTTCTCCTTTGGACTTGAATTCTATTCTTTTTTTCTGCTAAAAAAAAATTCTGATACCTGTTCTCCAGCACTGCTGTTAAACCACCATAATGATTCTCCTGCAAAATTGCAAAGTAAAATCTAGCTTGCCTTACCCATACAAATACTCCAATTTACTTTGCATGATTAAGGCAAACAGAGTTTGCCCTTTACAATTTACTATTGTATTGCAATAAAAAGTGATTTAGTTATGGTAATGACCCATTTACACTTCTTAAAAATTACTGAAAAATGAACAGTTTATTGTATTAATTTTTAATCCTTTTAAGATGAATGGTCTTTTGTTAAAACATATTCTCCTGCCACTGGCTTACTTCACGGATTTACATTTTTCAGCAAAAGACTGAAAGATTATAGCTATCTCTATTACCAACATCTAGTCAACTTTTCCTCATTATTTTATCCCTCTTAGAAGATGCATCAGTTTTTGGCATAAACTACTCAATAGCACCCCTTTCAACTTTTGCAAAGTGGATTGAGAAATATTTTGCTGTTTCTGATTTCCTTTTTTTTTTTTTCTTTGCCATTAAAAACTTCATGGGCCTTGTAATCACTTTATAGCAAAGAAGGGTTTTTTTGTGCAGATATACTATTGTGTAACTGCACATCCAACCTACATCCTGCATAGCTTCAGGCCTGTGAGTTGATCCAGTGAAGGTAATACTTGCAAAGTTAAGTGAATGAGACCAACACATGGAAAAGGATTGTAGCTTGAATAGAAATAATATATCTCAACTACTTTACTAGGCAATTCTATAATGTAGTACATCATCTGTAACCCAAATTGAGGAATACAAACAATTAGCACTGTTGTTTCTACCCCCTGCACCTGTGTGGTTTTCTAGTTGTATCAGTTACCCTTCCCTGTGTAAAGCACTAAAAATGCCACCTTATATCAGACCAATCTCTGTTTACAGTGCAACAGTAACAACCATTACTGTGTGAACTTTACAAACACTAGAATTAGCCTGGAAAAGAGAAGAGTTTGAAGAGATCAGACTGACCTGTACACCTCACAATAGAGAAGTATAGTGAAAATTAGCCATTCCCTTGCTTTTACCCATCAATACAACACTAGAACAAGAGGTCACTTGGTGAATCTAAACTCTGTACTCAGGCAAATCCCAGTTGATTTGATGGAAATGTTTTATTTATATGTTATGTTTTTGTATATTTGTAGGCACATACACATTCGATACAATGATAGCTGTAATTATGTATATCATAAAAAGGAGCTATCCCAAGTTCATGCTTCAGGACATAAAATCATCAGTGAATAGGTCACAAACAGTCTTCTGCCCTTCCCTTCACTATGTACAATTTTGCTCAAATTATATTTGATTTTATTAAAACTTCCATTCAATTAGTTATTATATTTCAGTATATTGTTCTGGCAGTGGAACAAGCACCTTCTTTGTACTCATTCCATCCATTCTATCAGGATGCAGTTCTGTAGCCTAGTCTAATATGCTAACGATTATTTAAAAAAATAAGATCATAGGAAAGTAGGGGAAGTGACCTCATGAAGTCATCCTCCAGCTCAAGGTCCCAGCTAGATCAACTCTTAACCCCTGACATGACCATCTCAGCCAAGTGTTTGCCCATCCGCTTTTGAAAGCTTCCATGGATGAAAATTCCAAAATTTATTTTCGGTAGCCTCTTCCAATGCTTGACCTCCCTCATAATCAGAAAGTTCTTCCTAATTGCCAACCTCAATTTCTCCTACTTGAGGTTGAGCTTCATGCCACTGCTCCTGGTCCTGTCCCCTATGGCCATGGAGCAAAGGTCATCTCCCTACTCTCTCTAACTGCCTTTCAGGTATTTGAAGACTTCTCCAAACTAAATACCCCTCGCCCTTTCTGCCTTTCTTCATAAGTCTTGCTTCCCAAGTCATTTTTGCAGCTCTGTGCTTGACTTTTTCCAACCTGTTCACATCCTTTTTGAAGTCTGGGGCTCAAAACTAGACAGTTAGTTATCCAATCCCTCCTCAGTCTTCTTTTTTTGCTAAAGCAAAAATATTTTTCTTACTAAAAAGGTGAGCTGGCCCTTTATTATGTTTTACCTCTAAAGCTCATTTACTCAAATGGAAAACCCACTGTATACATACACATAGGGCGCCTATACACGAGCGTGGTGGAGGCTGCTCCAATCAAGTCTGCTGGAGCTTGGCAATTGCCATGCTCCAGCAACCTCTTGCATGTTGTGTATCAGTATCCCAGCACTTACAAATGGAGGTAGGGGTGCTTGAACTAAAGTTAATTTTAGTTCAAGTGCCCCTGCCACCATTTTTAAGTGCAGGGATGCTGATACAGGAGACATAGTGGCGCTTTAATTAGAGCGGCTCTTGGATATGCTCTAATTAAAGTGCCTCCCCCTCATTCCCAGAGCTCATGTAAAAGCACCCACAAAGACTAGACTCCACAAACTATACTAGCTCAAAAGACAACTGACCTGTAAGGTCAGGTGTCAAAAAGCTTTAAAAAAATGGAAATACTGTACCCCCTATTTTGAAACATTTTAATATGCCAAGGAATCGAAAAACTCCTGATATATTCCAGTGTTCATTAAAAAGACAGTATGTCATTGCCAGCTAATTCCAGTTTGATATTACTTCAGTCAGAGCCATTTTATATCACATCAATAACTTTTACAAAGCAATGTTTTTTCCAAGTTCTCTACTATACATCTCCTTAGTTTCTAATTACTTTTCCTCCCTGCAGATATAGCTGAAGGATGTCTTGGCAGTTGTTCATCCTTGTATATGTGATTCTACTGAATCTTACTGCACAAAACACTATCATAGGTCTGGCTCACTTGAGTGATGAATGTTTTCACCTATAGATACAAGGTAGCATCTCAGATTATTTTGACAGCATTTCCCATGTGCTGCAGAGTCTAATCAAAGCACCTTCGTGGTGAAAAAAATCTATATTAGAAGCATTTTTAAAGATATTGTAGTATCAATTATTAGTGTTGCTCAACTCTGCAAGATAGTGGTGGGGGATTCATACACAGCATGAACAAAGGACCTCAATCAAAACAATACCTGGAAAAGGATCAAAACAGATTTTAAAATGCTTTGAAAAACACAAAAAGAAAACTCAACAACTGCCTGAAAATGTGTATCCATGCCATTTATTTTTTCACATCCCATCCTTCCAGGCACACAATTCCAAATCTGTGACAGCGCAGCATCGTTTTCCAGATATATTAGAGATTCCCCTTCCTTGCATCAACCCCCTCCCCCCCAACCTCGTTCTCTCAACTCTGAAAAGAAATAAAAAGCAGCATCTCTACGGTCCTACCTGTCCACGACTTGCTTCATTTACACTGCCAGGAGAAAGAGAGGAGACGTGATGATGCAGTTCTGCCAAACTATCCCACAGCAGCCTCAGACCTCCTGTGCTTGGATGGGAGTCCCCTCCCCCACAACACCAATTCCTTCCTACCCCAAACCTGTTTTGAAAATGGTCACCCAGATTGGGGAGGTGACAAACTTTGTGAACTACAAGAACAAAACATATATAATAATAACAACCTCACCATTCAAAATAAATTGCAGGAGAGAGGGAAGAAAAAAACCCAAACAAACAACCTTACAAATCTTCCTTTTTTTTTTGGTCTCCCTCCTCCCCCACAGAAGGATGCTCTGGACTGCTTTTTGTCAAAGAAAACCTGTCCTAAACCCCAGGCAGCTGCATTTTTATTTCCAATCAACAGGTCTCAAGCCTAGCTGTTGAGGTGGCTGCTGCTGCTCCTGTGTTGTTGGTTTTTGTTTTAAATTGACACTTTATTTAAACCTCCAGAACTTCCCTCCCTCCCCCCGTCCCCGACCCCCCTCCCGCCCTCTCTCCCTCTCCCTCTCCACTACCTCCAAGATGGTAGGAAAGTTGTTGTTTCGCGGGGCAGAGGAGCCGCTCTCTGCTGTTATGTCCTCTCAGTGCCTGTAGTGGTGCTGTAGGAGGCTGCGGGCTCTCTTCTTGAGCGGCCCCGGCAGCCCTGCCTTCTTCGCCGGAGCCTGTATTCAGGGATTCCCCTCCGTAATCACCTCCCCGCGCCGCACTTTGTAGTTTGAAAATAATAAAGGAGCCCCCCAAAGCCGCCTCCCCGCCGCCCGCGGGATCTCCTCAGAGCCAGGGGGGCAGCAGCGCCTCAGCGCAGCGCCCGAGCCCCTTCCCCGTCCCTCCGCCGGGGAGGGCACTCCGAGCTGTCAGCCCAACAGAGGGAACGGGGGGAGACGAGAGGAGGAGGAGGAAAAAAAAAGCAGCTGGGAAGGTAAGGCAGGCCCGGCCTGCAGCCCCGGGCTCGCGTAGCGCGGCAGGCGGCGCGCGG